GGGCACGTTCCAGCTTGTCAGTATCCTTGAACCGCTTCAATATGTATGACACCATTGACAGGAATCCCTTTTGTAAGATGCCCACTACAGAAATATGAAAATGCATGAAGACCAGATAAATTTCAATAGGTTCATCACCAAATGCTTGTAATGAATTTTATCAGTTATTTTCTTTTACACTAGGGCTTTTTTTTTGGCTGCTTGAGTACTGGGTCTTTTCAAACACCTTGGGAAGAGAATTAAAATGGTGCCTTTCCAAAAGATTTGACAGACTGCTGTGTTACTCAAAATATTCTTTTAATGTCCATCTTCGAATTCTTATTCATTCAAAACCCTGCTTGTTCCTGTCACTTAGTGTCTTCCTTCTAAAGTCTTTTTATTAAAGTAGTTCCTGTTTTTATGATAGTGATTTTATATTTCAGCTTCTTTTTTTCTTTCAGCCACAGTGTTCTTAATTACCTTCCTGTTACTAGAATGAAACTTTAATTCCTTACTTTTCTTAATGGTTAGTGGAATAATTTTTTTCCAAAAAATCAACAGTTATAAATGTTATCTGACATAAATCAAATGTTGCAAAATGTGTTAGAAGTTATGAAACCAAAAATTAAAGTCTTTTCCAAAGTAAAAGAAACCATCAAATGAATGAGCCAGTTCAGGTTTTTTAAAATAATGGAATGGAAAATAATTCACCAGCTCAGAAACAAAACAAGGGAAGAGCAGACTTCACAATGGATATGCTTGTGTTGTAACTGATTTTTAAAAAGGGGGGAAAACAACCGTTATTATAAATGGCAGACATGCAGACAAACCACAAATATTCAGTGACTCGAATATACCTGATTCTTTGCCCTCTGGGGGGAGGGGAATTAAACAAATTTTCCTCTATATAGGAAATTCTTGATGTAAATGCAACTTAATTTTTGCATGGTATTAAGTATAGCAAAATGTGGCCCTTCAAAGGGATGCTCTACTGTTCTGTGGAAGTGTAACTGGAAGGAAAAGAAGTGAAAGCTGTGTTCCATACAACATAACCTTAAAAAAGGAGGTATCCTGGTTGTAAATTCCTGACTGATTTAAAACCATTGATAATAATAATGGGAAGGGTTGGTTCATAAAACATATTACAGATGTGGACCAAAACAGATGGTTTGGAAGCAGCTATAGTAGTCATATTTGTTATTTATTTGCTGTTATGCTTTTACCATATTATTTTGGGTAGTTTATATTTTAATAAAATATGGTGCTACAGCTATTTTGCTCTCATTGCAGCCATCTGAGGTATTGTTGTGATTATTTAACATATTTTCACACTTGTCCTTCAAAAGAGTTGATTACAGTTTTTATCAGGTTTTCTCATTTACCCTCACAAAACCTTGTGCAATGAGGTGTATCCATTCCAGAAATAAGAACTAGTCAAAGGTAGTCCCCAGAAATCTCTCTGTCTTGAGACCTCATGCCATCCTGGGTTTTAAGACCTTGATATTGATTTATTTTCAGAAACCTTTAAGAAGAAGGCTGCAGTCGCTCCTGATAGATTTTTTGCAAACTTCCTTGTTTAAAATTGGATACTGCCTTCTGAATACAACTATGATAAGCAAATAGGCTGTTCTTATTTTTAGGGCTTGGCTAGGTGAGAGCAAGAGTAGCACTATTTCACCTTTGATAATTGTGCTGCAACTGAACCTGTCAAAATTCACTCTTCTATTCATTTGAATTATTTAATAAAACTCCCTCTTTTATTCATTTTAATTATTTAATAAGGATCTATTTTGAAATGTTTTTGCATGGTTTTGTGTAGGCTGTGCTGTGCTGGGTTTAAAACAAAACAAGCATTCATTTACTTAAATATTTCAGTAGGGCGAGTGGTTTTCAATCTTTTTTTACTTTAGAAGCCACCTGAGATCTCATGTACAAAGAATTTATTCCCACTCCAGCAGTCTAGTCAAGTGCTGGTTCTGCATATGTGTGGTTTGCACTAGATCTGAGAGAAAAATTAGATTTTGTTGTTCTACCAAGGCTCCTGCCACCTGAACTGGTTTCTCTTTCTGGTATGGAAATCTTAGGTAATATCAGGATTCAGTCTAACAATGCCCCACAAGCTAAGGAAGCTATTTTGGTCTTAAAGCAGTGCCTGTTATTAATAATGGACTGCATGAAGTTGAACAGATTCAAATTTAACCCAGGAAAGATTGATATGAGCCTGGTGAATTGAAAGACAGATGACGGACTAGAGACCCAGCATGTGCTGGAATGGGTTACACTCCCCTTCAAGGCATAGATTCTTAGCTTGGGCATCTTCCTGAAATCAGCCCTGTGTCTGGAAGCCCAGGTTTCAGTGGTGACTAGGAGTGCAGTGGTAACATTGTGTACTAAGCTTGTGTTCTACCTGCACTTGTTCTTCGGGGTGAAACATACCTTAGTTATATCTAGGTTAGATAACTGTAATGTGCTCAATGTGGGGTTCATTTGAAGAGTGTTCAGAAACCTTAACTGCTCCAAAGAACTGCAGTCTGAACTGGAACTAGGACTGACTACAGGGAACGCACAACTTCCTTGTTGCAACAGTTAATCTGGTTGCCAAACTGTTTTTGGGCACAATTCAAGGGGCTGGTTGTGACCATGTTCTCTTTTACAAACCAAAATGTTCTTTGAGATCTGCCGATGTATCCCATCACCCACACGGTTACATCTGATTGGATCATGGGCATTCTCAGTGGTTGTCCCCATGCTCCGCAACTCCCTTTCCAGAGAAGTTAGACTGGCACCACCCTTACTGTCTTTTTGCAGACATTTAAAGACTTTTCTATTCCAATGGTTATTTGATGAGTGACTATTTAAGGCTAATGTTAGACAATGTGCTGAACATTGCTTTTTTTGTGCTGGTGAATGTGTATGTGTATTTTAATGACATATGTTTTAATCATGTTTTAATTTTCTGATTTCTTAACCTTGTTTTAATTTTGATATCTTATTGATTTTAACTTTTTTTAAAAAAATATATGTTGCTTTGCGTCCTGATCTGGGAAAAAGGCAGAACAGAAATAGAGGGAGGAGAAAAATTAGTAGTAGTTGTAATAGTAATTGTAATAGTTGTTGTTTTCAGTCAACATGTATGGCAACATGTCTTGTCTCTTTGGGTTGCGGAGATTGAATGGCTATCTCCTCTCCATGAATTAATTCTACTTCTGGAAAGGACTCAGAGCCTGATGAATTACTAGCACCAACAAAGAAATATCAGACCCAGACAGCAATCCTTTCACTTTAAAGGTTGAATGTTAGTATGGATGATATTGTGACTCCAATGTTACCTAGAGAAGGAGTGACACTAGGGGATTTCACTCAAGCAATATTCCATTTATTGACTTTATTAAAAAGGCATTTGGATTAATGTATACTTCATACAGAGGTTTTTTGAGGTTGAGTCTCAGACTGTGATTTTTACTGAAACAAATGGAAATCATTATATTATGATGAACTAGAGCCAACCTTTGTCTTTCAGGCTATTAAAAATAAAATTAATAATGCTTAATTTAATTATTTTCCTCTCCCACCTCAATATTTTTCTTTGTAATTCTTATGGAAAATAAAATAAAATAAATGCTTGAAAATATTTATCATGATGTTGTTGTCATATGCTGCACACTTGCTCCAACTTCAGTATGGTAGTTGTTCCAAACAATGAATCACGTATGTGGTCTGGCTCTTGCTATATGGTGTGTCTACCACCTGCCATCTGTTTTTCTGGTGACAAAGAGGTAAAATATGTGGGGAGGGAGAAGGGGAAAACAGCCATTTGCAATGTGGCCTTTCACATAGAATGACTTGTCATGTGGTTTGTTAGTAATGTGGCCTGAATTTACTTGGACTTATATAGTACTAGTAGCTAGGTACAAGTAGCTGCACCCTATCTCCTATGCAATAGTGTCAATACAAGTAATCCTTTCAGCTGACACAGTATGTCAGCATTAATTAGTTTGCCAGTAGGAACAGTGAGATGAAATCTTCTCAGTCCCATGTTGTTTCACTTTCCCTCTTGTATTCTGTAATGCTTCCAAGAATGATTTAGGGATGTTTATGTCTCTCTCCCCCTTGTGCAATCTTGCATCTGGACATAGAACTGGAAGCTTATGCAGACATCATTTGTCCTGCCTGGTGCTTGGCTTAAATAAAACCTTGAATTTAACAACCAGCTCCAGAACAGAAGCAGATATTCAATAAATCACTCTAATAGCCAAGCTGTGAAATATAACTCTTTTTTAAAAGTCCCACTTATTCAGGGATTAGAAAATAATAAATGAGGGCAGTACTATCACCCTGTTTGTATATATACAGCCGCATAACAGTTTTCTTTATTCTTTTTTTTAACAAAAGGATCCTGCCTCTAAATGTTAGTACTATATAAAAGTTGCAGAATTTGGTAATGTTTAGGGGTAATTGACCTCTTCACATGTATCTTTTTTTCAGGGGCAGCTGGATTTTTAGGGTTCAGCCATGAAGCTCAATGGCTCCCATCACACTCTGGATAACTACTTCCTGGGCAGCTTCATGGTTGAAGTGCTGCCACTGCCTCAAAAATGGCGTAGACAACAGCATGCTCCCCGTCTTTCTATTTGGAAAGATAGATTGAGCCACTAAAAAGGGGCTTCCCCCATGTGATGAGAGAGGGGAGGGGAAGCTATGCCAGAACGGGGAATGGGGGGTCAGGTCTCCATGCTCCCTGCACTTCTGCCAGTGGGATGCAGTAATCTGGGACATCTTCAGGAGCATGTGTGACAAGGTTGTAAGACATGTTAATCTTTAGCCTTTCAGCAAGATTTTGGAGTTTGGGAATGAAATCACCTAAAATGACTTTAGCTTGTGAGACTGGAAACCTACATAGTCTCATTGGAACCAAATGTTCATACACTCCCAGAAAATATGAACCTTAAAAGTTGTAACATTGTCTTGAAAAATGATCCATGTATATTTACAATCAGAGTGCCCTTTTGTTTCTCTAACAGATAATGCCAGTGAGAAAAATTCCATGCAAAGCCAATGCACCATCTGGATCTTTTTTTGCACGGGATAATACTGCTAATTTCTTATCCTGGTGCAGAGATGTAGGAGTGGATGACACATGTCTATTTGAGTCTGAAGGTCTGGGTATGTACCAACCCTTACTTATTATGTTTTCCATTATGCTGTATTGATATATCAGCTATGGGTGCAGAATCAATTTTATGACAAAATCATGTAGTTTTTCAAATGGGTGTTTTGAAATGCAAGATGACTAATCTGCTTTTTATAATATGTAGTAATTCATACTTGCTTGGGTTTTTTAAAAAGTGCCTGTCTTCATTTACTCATCTGCTGTCAAATCAGCATCACCTTATGATGACCACATGAATGAGACCTAGGGCACTTCCACACAGCCTTATATCCCAGAATATCAAGGCAGAAAATCCCACAATATCTGCTTTGAACTGGATTATCTGAGTCCACACTCAGATAATGTGGGATTTCCTGCCTTGATATTCTGGGATATAGGTTGTGTGTGATGGGAGCCAATTAATTCCACTAGTTGCTTTGCTCAGGTATTTCAAACTCAGGGCAAAGATTTCCTTGATTGAATCAATTCAACTATAATGTGATCTCCCTCTTTTTCTTTGGCTTTTCCTCTTTATTATTATTTTTCCAATGAGTAATGTTGTTTCATGATATGCACAAACTGTGACAGCTTCTGTCTAGTCATCTTTCCTTCTAGTAAAACTTCCAGCTTGATTTGTTCTCAGACTCTTTCATTTATTGTTTTAGTAGTCCATCTGCTTCCGGGAACAATTCAAAGTGCTGGCTTTAGCCTATAAAGCCCTAAACGGTTTCGGTCCAACTTACCTATCCAAACATATCTCTCTTACGAACCATCTAGAATGCTAAGATCTTCTGGGGAGGCCCTGCTCTTGCTCTTGCCTTCCTCACAGATGTGTCTGGCGGGGAAGAGAGACAGGGACTTCTCAGCAGTGGCCCCTCGACTGTGGAACACCCTGCCTAGAGAGATAAGATTGGCCCCTTCGCTCCTGTCCTTCCAAAGAATGGTGAAAACCTGGCTTTTTGAACAGGCCTTCCCAAATATGTCATAGATATATGATATTATGGACAACTGTTGATGCAACTGGACAATGATTTGAGATGGAGATGCTTTAATAATGTTTTTAAATGTTGTGTATGAGCTTTATGTTTTTATAGTGCTGTTAGTATTTTAAAGTATTAATGATTGTTTTAATTTGTTGTAACTACTCGGGCATCAAATTGTTGCCTATTGTTAACTCCGAGTTGCCCTTGGGCTGAGAAGGGCGGTATATAAATGTAGTAAATAATAATAAAATAATGATAATGTATAATTTTATCTGTAAAACTCTATTTTTATTTACACAAAAATGAAATAAATATCAATGCTGCAGTGTGTTAAACAAGTAATTTCTCTAGGTTTTGAGAATAATAAAATAGAAGGACATGTAAAGAGATGGTCAAATAAGAAATCCTGGCCTTCTTCTGCTTTAATTTTCAGAAGACACGGTCAATTCAACATAGGCTGGTATCTTAATGCACAGTAAGTTCCATGAACAAAATACTGGTCAAAAGCTCATATTGCAGATCAATAAGAACTGCATGGCATCCTTCCAAAAATTATATGATTTTAGAGTGCAGATGTGAATTACTTGACAAAATGCTGCTTCATGCTCAAAAATCTTTTCTTATAGGAAAACAAATAAAATATTAGAGAGGGAGCATTCTCCTATCTAAATGTAATTCTTTATTTGCATTTTGAAGTGGCACAACCCTGGGAGAATATTACTACTTGCTTTATTGAATGCTTTGATGTAGAGACTCCATTTCTGTTAAAACTATACAAAGGTGAAAGGGACAGAAATATTTAGTCCATCTGGTTATGTGCCTCGGCAGCAGTTTTCTGTATTTTCCAAGCTACCATACATGACCAGTGTTTCTATATTCCCTAATATTTTCTGATCATCTGCAATATCCTTTGTTATATTCTTCTTATTAAAACTAAATGGATATAGATTAATCAATCCTTTGGATGGGACTACAGGGAGAGCCATGAGAGAGGGAGATAAAATGACTAGCTTTCAGGGTCCATCCTGCAATATGGATTTCATTTAGTGAGCCCAGGAGGCAAAGATATTTTGCTGCCTAAGGTTGAACAGTAAATGTATCCTGGCAGTCAGAATCTGGACATGTTATTTCTGACACCTTAGGCAGAAAATGTTTCTCCTGGGAGTAAAAACAGTAATAATAAACCCTTCCTACAACTAAGACTAATCCATGTATGTCTGTACAGTTTCTCCTATGGCAATTCCTCCTACAATTGAGAAAGGGTTTTGGAAATATTTAACATATAATAGAAATATGTTGAAAACCATTGCAGTTTGGGATTCTACCCAAAATCTACATGTATTTTTCAGTGCAGAAAACAGCAGAAAATGATATGCAATTTATTTCTATAGTCTCAGCAATTTCTGTATAGTCACTGGAGCAAAACTCCTAGCCGAATGTTCTTAAAAACTCAAAAGCTTGATCTTGACATTGTGATTTTGCTGTGTATTTCCTGTGTTGACTAAGAGGACTAATTTTTTTTCATTTGTGTATCCATGCACTCACAACATAGTTGAACTCTTTCACAGAGATTTATCTTAAGGGTTTCTGCAGCTACTGTTAAATAAATAAATAAATAAATATTACACAATCATAAAAATGAGTAATGGTAGAAGTGAAGGACAAGGCAAGGATTTTGAGATCATCTCACAAATAAAAGTGCAAGAAAAAGGACACCAAAACAGAGGAAAAACAGATCAGTTGCAACCTAGATAACAGTTACACACATTCAAAAGCTTTGTGAACAATGAAAACAGAAGGCTCTTGATGGCAGCACAGTGGGTTCATTTAGTTCTCTGAAAGACGTATATTCCTTCACAACAGCTTTTCAGTTTTATCTGCCTTCTGGCTCCAAACAATCTATTGATTCTCTTCGTTTTCAGGTGAAATACAATCTGGAAGCAGAAAGGTTGTCCTGAATTTTGTATCAAAAGAGATTTGTTATAAAATGAAAAAGAAAAAAAAATATGATATGATAATTTTGCTAAAATAGCTGCCCTTTGGTAGAAAGGTAAACCTAATACAAAAGCTGGATGTTCTGTAGTGATTCCCTACTGCGCAGAGGCAGGACAATGGCTCCAGCGTCTGTCTACACTGTAGAATTAATACAATTTGACATCACTTCAACTGTTATGGCTCAATCTTGGGAGTTGAAGTTTGGTGAGGCTCCAGTACCATTTGGCAGAGAAGGCTAAAGACCTTATAAAACTAAAAACCCCAAGATTCCATAGTATTGAGCCGTGACAGTTAAAGTGGTGTCACACTGCATTTATTCTGCAGCTTAAATTAACTCTATGTGAAGGGAATCACAGCAGCTTGGAGTCATTCAAATTTACTTTTTGTGTACCAGTATTACCTAGACATGATTCTTCTATTTTTTTTCTTTCTTGAACTTTTTTTGTGGATAAAGCAATGTTGTTTTCCAAAAGTAATATAGTATACAATATTCATAATTCCCCAAAGTAACACTTCAGTTATTCTTCATGCATTGCCTTAAAAATCCATTTATACAAAGCAAAAGCCAAAAATTTTAGAGTATTTTAAAGGGAATGATCAAATGTTAAACTTTGCACTTGATAAAGTAATGATATTGCCAGTATTTATTATTTTGACAGAAAACGACAACAAAACAGTTATGCTCTAATGAGTCCCCAAGGTAACATTTCAAGTAATGTTACTTTCAATGTATTATTTCCAAACTCTGAGACAAATTGGGCTAAAATGTTTGATGAAGTCAAATTTTGGAAATGTTGGCCATATGCTAGACATAATATAACTGGCAAAGTTCCTTGAAGCAGGTACATGTGCCAGCCTTCAGGCAATTTCCTTGTGTATGTATGTGTGTGTGTGTGTGTGTGTGTGTGTGTGTGTGTGTGTGTGTATATATATATATATATATATATATATATATATATATATATATATCATATTCATACTATGATGAGAAATTTCAGAGCCAAAACATGAGATTTGCAGAAGGCAAAATCAATGGGGGTAGGTCTCAGAAATGTCTCAGAGGGTGGCCCTATTGATGTCATCAAGCATCCATCCCAGATGTCTGGAGCATGCAAATTGAATAAAAATACAAAGTCTAACAAACTGTAGTTATAAAAATATCTGATTGGCATTTTGAAAAAAGAATCAAAGCTTTTCCTTGAACAGAGAAAAATCAAACTTTTCCTCACTTTGTCCAACACACTGCTTTTAACACAATGTAAGAATTGTTGTTTAAACAGAAAATTCTGCACTGAATGGCTTGCCCCCATCAACCAACTTAATTGGCTGGTTGCACTTCCATAATAACAACAGCAACCAGTCAGATTGTGGAATCTGCCCTCTCCAAATAAGTGAGCCAAGTGAGCCTTCATCCAGTTCTTGGGTAGAAAAATGGAAAAGAAGAAGAGAAGTCATCAACAACTTTCACAGCAGACACCCCAACCCCAGTTTATATAAGTTGAGGATATTTTTCCACATACCAAATGCATAGATAAGATTTTTTTTGAAAAAAATGCAACATTTCAATCTGTACGACCTGTGGCCTTCCAAGTGTTTGGGACTCCAACTTCCAGAAGCCCTAGGCAGCTTATCCAAAGATCAGGAATTTTGGGAGCTGAAATCCAAAACACCTGGAGGGCTACAAGTTGTGCAGGCCTGCATTGAGTGAAGGAAGACTGCATTGAGGAAGACTGGCATCACATCACTGGAATCCTAGCAAGTGAACCCCCAGCACTTGTACATAAGGCCAGATTGTGGAATATCTAAAGCTTGAAAGTCTGTTGTAAGTTCAGTTAACATCCATTCTTCCTGCCCTCTCCAATTTAGAAAAATAAAATTGGGGTTGCTTTGGCTAGTCAACAGGACAGGGAGAGGAGGGAAAGGAGGCAGCCCAATAATGCTACTCTGGTTGTTGTCACATGCATGAAAATCAGTCTGTTGCAAGCACAACCAGTGCGCCCTTCAACAAATAATGGTATACAAGATTAGAGGTATCT